AAAACAGTTAACAGGGGTTATGCCCCTTACAGATAGGTCAAATCTCTTCGGTCATAAAGTAACAAAGTTGCGCCTTAATGACCCAAACATTTTCCACTATTCATTTTGTAAGTATAATGGTTTCTGAGATTATCCCATAACAAGGTGTAAGGTCAAAGGTCAAGGTCAACATACAAATTTGACCTTGAGGCATTTTGAAAGTCACATGAATTGATGATCATTGGTGAAGATCCTAGGTGGCTACGACTTGCGGTTTCTGAGTTTTGATGGCCAACCGACACCGGTTAATTTTCAAAGGGGCATAACCCTACCAATGAGTCGTTGAATCTTTTCGATCCAAATGTATCGAAGAACCGGGGTCTGGTCCTGAACAAATTTCACCCTTTGCTTTTTTTCTACCTATTACGGTTACGGTGTTTGAATGATAACAAGGTTTTTAGGTTTCGGAGGGATAACTCCGGACCGACAAAATTTTACGACTCACAGGGTGAGTTCCGGATAGGTATTTGTGACACCGATACAAAGTGTGAACCTGAAAGCGACATGGCTTACGGTTACGGAGGGAAATTTTGTCAAAGTTTGGCGGAACAAAAAGAATAATAATAATAATAATAATAATAATAATAATAATAATCAGAAGAAATACAGTAAGGTCTTTCCCTTTTGAAAAAGGAAAGACCTTAATAATAATAATAATAATAAACAAAAGAAAAACAGTAAGGTCTTTCCCTTTTGAAAAAGGAAAGACCTTAATAATAATAAACAGAAGAAATACAGTAAGGTCTTTCCCTTTTGAAAAAGGAAAGACCTTAATAATAATAAATATAAATCAATTGCTTTAAAAAAGCAATTGTAAACGGTCTTTCCCCCTTTCTGAAACATGATTGATTGATATGTGTTTGTTTGTTTGTTTGTTTGTTTGTTTGTTTGTTTGTTTGTTTAAAGGGTCCATATTAGTGTGTTGGTTAAGTTTCTATATTTAGTTTGGAAAGTTTTTATTCTATTTCAGGTCCCTCGCGCGCAACTGTCTCGCGCCAGATTGTGGCGTCACGTGACGAAGCTTTATAATAGCGAAAACCTAGTATTTTTATTTCTTTTTAGGTGGGGACGTTGGACAGACAACATGTATAGCGACGGAATACACACAATGTATTTCTTTTGTCATTGTAGGTAATTGACGTTTCGATCACAGTTCACGAGCAGGGCATGCTTTGGATTTAATTGATCCTGTGTAACTTTAAAACACGTTTATCGATTATTTTCATACAATGTACATTTTTCAGCAGCAGTTTGTAACACAGATTTGTATTTCAATCTAGGAGCGGACATTTTATTGTAGGATTTCACTGAGATTTACTCCAATCTTTTCTCTAGGGAAATTCTTGAAAGATATCTGCACCACGTTGTTTTATGAAGATGTTATACATGTATACCCTGCTGACTGCAAATTTTGGGGTCAATTGGACATGTAGTTTCAGAGAACATCTGATAACAAGCATGTGGATTTTTGTTTTTCAGAACAGATGTAAGAACAATATTACAATGTCAATTGTTCTTGAACAATTGAGAGGTCTTTCCTTTTTTAATGTAAAATACATGTTCCAATAGACGTAAAATGTATTGAAAAGTTCTTAAACACACAAAAAACTGTTAAAATATGATAAAAATCAACAAATTCGATTTTTAGGAGATGACCTTGACTTTTGACCTTGTTACCTTTGTGAAGGTCATCAGTCCACAATGTCATTGTAAAAGACCCCATGGGTATAGGACCTTTGGTTCAACAGTTAAAGCTAATTTTACCTTTTCAGAAACCGTTAACAGGGGTTATGCCCCTTAAGAATATGTCAAATCTCTTCGGTCAAAATATAAAAAAGTTGTGCCTCAGTCACCTAAACATTATTCACGGTTTACTATTTCTGTAAGATTAACAGTTTTTGAGATATCGACTAAAAAGTTGAAAGGTCAAAGGTCAAGCTCAACCTTAAAAACCTTTAAAACACACTAAAATCCTTTAAATAAGGTCAAAAACACATAATTCGCTATCTGGGACATGACCTCGACCTTTGACCTTTTGACCTTTGTCAAGGTCATTAGTCCCCTACGTCATTGCTGAAGACCCCATGGGTCTAGGACCTTTGGTTATATAGTAAAAGCTGATTTTGTCTTTTCAGAAACCTAAAACAGGGGTTATGCCCCTTACAAAATAGTCAAATCTCTTCGGTCAAATGTAACAAAGTTGCGCCTTAATGACCCAAACATTTTCCACTATTCAAAACTTCTGTAAGTATAATGGTTTCTGAGATTATCCCATAACAAGGCGTTAGGTCAAGGGTCAAGGTCGACATACGAATTTGACCTTGAGGCATTTTTCAAAGTTACATTAATTGATGATCATTTGTGAAGACCCTAGGTGTCTACGACTTATGGTTTCTGAGTTTTCGTGGCCAACCGACACCGGTTAATTTTCATAGGGGCATAACCCTACCAACGAGTCGTTGAATCTTTTCAATCCAAATGTAACGAAGAACCGGGGTCTGGTCCTAAACAAATGTCACCCTTTGTTTTTTTTCTACTTCTTACGGTTACGTTGTTTGAATGATAACAAGGATTTTTAGTTTCGGAGGGATTACTCAGAACCGACAACATTTTTTGACTCACATGGTGAGTTCCGGATAGGTATTCATGACACCGATACAAAGTGTGAACATGAAAGCGACACGTCTTACGGTTAAGGCTGCTAAGTTCGTCAAAGTTTGGCGGAAAAAGAATAATAATAATAATAAACAGAAGAAATACAGTAAGGTCTTTCCCTTTTGAAAAAGGAAAGACCTTAATAATAATTAAAATGTCTTTCCTTTTCATTATGTAAAATATATGTTTAAATAAGCGTATAATGCATTGAAAAGCTCTAAAACACACACAAAACCCTTAAAATATGGTCAAAAACACATAATCCGGAATTTGGGACATGATCTTGACTTTTGACCTTTGTCAAGGTCATTGGTCCATGATGTCATAACAAAAGACCCCATAAGTCTAGGACCTTCGGTTCATGAGTTAAAGCTTATTTTGTCCTTTCTAAAATAGTTAACAGGGGTTATGCCCCTAACGGATAGGTCAAATATCTTCCGTCAAAATGTAAAAAAGTTACGCCTTTATGTCCCAATTATTTTTCACTATTTACTATTTCTGTAAGTATTATTGTTTTGGAGATATCGAATAAATAAGTTTTAGGGTCAAAGGTCAAGGTCAACCACAAAAAGCTTTAAAACACACTAAAAATCCTTTAAATAAGGTCGAAAACACATAATTCGCTATCTGGGACATGACCTTTACCTTTGACCTTTTGAACTTTGTCAAGTTTATTAGTCCCCAATGTCATTGCTGAAGACCCCATGGGTCTAGGACCTTTGGTTTAACAGTAAAACCTGATTTTGTCTTTTTAGAAACCTAAACTAGGGGTTATGCCCCTTCTAGAAAGGTCAAATCTTTTCGGTCAAAATGTAACGAAGTTGCGCCTTAATGACCAAAACATTTCCCACTATTCAAAACTTCTGTAAGTATAATGGTTTATGAGATTATCCCATAACAAGGTGTTAGGTCAAAGGTCAAGGTCAACATACAAATTTGACCTTGAGATATTTTTCAGAGTCACATCAATGGATGATGATTGTTGAAGATCCTAGGTGTCTACGACTTACGGTTTCTGAGTTTTGGGGGCCAACCGACTGCGGTTAATTTTCATAGGGGCATAACCCTACCAATGAGTCTTTGAATCTTTTCAATCCAAATGTAAAGAAGAACTGGGGTCTGGTCCTGAACAAATTTCACCCTTCGGTTTTTTTTCTACCTATTACGGTTACGGTGTTTAAATGATAACAAGGTTTTTAGGTTTCGGAGGGATTACTCCGAACCGGCAAAATATTTCGACTCACAGGGTGAGTTCCGGATAGGTATTCATGACACCGATATAAAGTATGAACATGAAAGCGACACGTCTTACGGTTAAGGCTGCTAACTTCGTCAAAGTTTGGCGGAAAAAGAATAATAATAATAAACAGAAGAAATATAGTAAGGTCTTTCCCTTTTGAAAAAGGAAAGACCTTAATAATAATAATAATAATAATAATAATAATAATCAGAAGAAATACAGTAAGGTCTTTCCCTTTTGGAAAAGGAAAGACCTTAATAATAATAATAATCAGAAGAAATACAGTAAGGTCTTTCCCTTTTGAAAAAGGAAAGACCTTAATAATAATAATAATAATAATAAACAGAAGAAATACAGTAAGGTCTTTCCCTTTTGAAAAAGGAAAGACCTTAATAATAAACAAACGAATAACAGTAAGGTCTTTCCATTAAGAAAGGAAAGACCTTAATAATTATAATAATAATAATAATCAGAAGAAGAAATACAGTAAGGTCTTTCCTTATAGAAAAAGGAAAGACCTTAATTATAAGTCACCGTACGGCCTTTAACACTGAGCAAAACTAATACCGCATAGTAAACAATGAAAGCCATGAAATAACACATGTAAAACAACGTGAAAACAAACGGCCTAATTCATGTTTAAAACCATAAACATAAACAAACAACAATCACTAAATCACAGGCTCCTGACTTGGTACAAACACATACAAAATGCTGCGGGGTCAATTATGTTTGCCGGCGCAGCCCCGTCCCTTTTTCCCCCACAAAAAGAGGGGTCAGTGGTGTTACAGTACAACATATATACCATCAAATAAAAAGGGCTAACTCATCAAATCAATAACAAGCATATAAACACCTTAAAACACAAAAGAAACAAGGTACAGATCTGAAAGTAGAAGCAGTTAGTGCAGGTTAGTTCAAAGCCATTACATCTAATAATTGATGTGTCTCAGGTTAATGGCTCTTTTCTGTTGTTCATTTAAAAATTAGTTTTCAAAATTCAAATTTACTGAAAGATCACCAAATTCAAGGACTTGAACCATAATTTTGTTTATCTATATTCTAGGTTTAACACAAACAGAAATTGAAGGACATTTGATGGAAGGTACCTTTGTGGAAACACCTGCTGTACAGGCTTGTATCAAACTACTGGAAACGAACTCACTTCTTGTGCTAACAGGGGCAGCTGGTACAGGAAAAAGTAGAAACAGCTTAGAAATACTACACCAGTTCCGGGTCAAACATCCGGGATATGAAACAGTTAAACTTACAAACTTGCATGATTTTGCTGATGTGGTTACGGCTGAGGAAAAGCTGGTCATATTGTTTGAAGATATTTTTGGTAGAACTAATACAAAGTTTAAGGAGAATACAGATATTCAAATTATCGATAGATTACATGCATGCACTATTAAGGGTAATATTAAGGTTATCTTAACAGTACGAAATACAATTAGAACGTCTTGTCAATGGGTTTTAATCTCACACAAAATATTCCATGGTACGTGTGAAGTAGATCTTAGTTCACAAAAATTCAAAATGACCAAAACTGAAAAGAAATCGCTACTTTCAAAATATTTTGTGGTAAATAATTTTCGTCTTCTTGAAGTTGATGATCAAGAAAACTATTTTGAAGAAACAATTTTGGATCCTCAAATAGCTGTCACTATTAATCGAGAAACATTGAACAAAATAGTTGAATCAGAACCATTTCTTGGTTTCCCTGAAGCTTGTTCTTTATTTACGGGCAACAGAAAACTCACTCGTCTTGGTTTAAGTTTCTTCAAACACCCATCCAAATATTTATTTGAAGAAATTGAGAAACTTAGGATTAATGGAGCTGACAATCACCAGGACAGAATGTCTTATATAACACTAGTTTACATATTTTTAAACGACGATGTTCTTGACCCAGAAGATATAGACAGTGAAAAATGTCTTGAAATATCAGAGTCATGCTATGGGAGCTCATATAAAAAATTTCCAACATGCCATATTAGAGATGCTGCAAATTGGATGATAGGCAAATATCTGACATTACAATGCGATAAAGATACATATCACTTCCAGCATCAAACCATATTAGAAAGTATCTTAATATCATATAGTAGAATCGATCAGAATCTAATCTTGTCAAGGCTAAGCTTTGATTTTATAAGAGAGTTGGTACGACTTCAAAATTATTTCTTGAAAGAAGGTGAGATCGTGATGAAAATATCTCCAAAATATTATCCAAAACTTGCTGACCGAATAATAAAAATAGTGCAATCGGAATATTTTAACAATTCATTGTCAATCACTATTCAGTTGTTGTGTGATTCAGACATAATAAGAGAAAATGATGAACGTTTCGTCAAATGTTTGATTGACAAAGCACACGATGTTTATTTTCAGCCAGACTATGCTTTACAGTCATATACAACGAACAACGGTGAATTCAGACTTTGCAAACTTTATTTACCTGCGCTTTTTCTGGGGCGTATTGTGCAGCAAAGAGAAATGATTAAAACTATTTCTCTGTTGCTTGATCATGTGAAGTTCATCTTGAGTTCTGATACTGGAGACGACATTAAATTTGTCTGTAATTCAACCCTGTCAGAAGCATTTTTACATGTTTGTGAATTAGAAAGCAATGAAAAGATTTTAGACAATGTATGGGAATCTGTTGAGAAATTGAATAAGTTAAAAATGAAAGAATACATGAGAAATGTTATCAGTACAGTATGTTCCAGATGTCCAGTAACAACGATGAAATGGATGTTGAACAACATTGACCGAAGTACATTTGAAATGAAGCATTTAATAAATAGGGCCTGTGAATTCAAAAGACTTGATGTTGTACAGTTGATATGCGCAACTGTAAACCATGACCAGCTTGACTTTACATCAGCCTTTCTTCTGGCATTAAATAATGTCAGGAACGACCCAGATGGGCTAGTTTCAAAATGGTTGATAAAGAACATTGGTCATCAATTATTTGATATGAAAAAAATTACAAGTCAAGTTCTTGTAGTTGGTTGTGTCGACGATTTGAAGTTTTTATTGCAAAACGTTGATAACAACATTTTAGACATGAAGTTAGTGTTCACTCAAGTGTGTAAAGAGGAGAGGCACATCGTAGAAAGTTTTTTGAAATGGATGGTAACGAATGTAGAAAGGGAAAAGTTGAATACACTTGAAATGTTGATTTTGGCATGTATGGCCCAGGACATGGCAGTGGTTAAGAACTTGATGAATAATGTCGATCATAATCTCTTGGAAATCACGTATGTGTTAAAGTCTGCGATAAGTAGTGATTGGCGAGGAAGCAACAGAGATTTAATAGAATGGCTTTTCTTACATGTTGATATGAAACATATCGACATGATGCACATCATAGATATAGCTTTTAAAGAAGGACGATATGAAGAGATTAAGATATTGATACCATGTAGTAAAGACAATCTTGTTAGTATTAACAATATTCTGAAAAATGCATGTGAAAACATACAAATAGAACTTATAAAAGTTGTGTTGTCTGTTGTTGATCATATCAGACTTAACATCAGAGACGCTGTTAGATCAGTTTGTGTATTATCGAAAATAGATTTATTAGAATTTTTCTTGTATAATGTAGATTATAGTTTATATGACGCAAACTACGTAATGGAAGTCTCCTGTAGGTATGGATGGGTCCATATTGTGAAGTGGTTGTTAGACAACGTTGAATATTCATCGTTTGATATACCTTCAGCGATGAATATTGTGTTACGTAGACAGTTTGGGGAATCTGATAAAGCGTTGGTAAGACTTTTTCTACAATATCCTCTTCAGGACAAAGTTCAAATAACTGAAATAATACAAGACTGTTGTTGGTTGGACATGCTAGATGTAGTGAAATGGATGTTGAAAAATATTGATCAAAATCAACTTGACATGAAATCGGTTATGAATACAGCCTGTATTCGAAATAATGTTCAGCTGGTCCAATGGTTATTATCGAATGTAAGCACTAACTTGTTAGACTTGCCTTCTGCATTTAATAACACCATACATGCAAACCATCCTGTTTTGAATGTTTCTCTGGTAAAGATTTTGATAGGTAATATCGATCATAAGCTAATTGATATGGCAAGCTTATTAAAGATAGGATGTGAGCAATTTTGGTATGACATTGTTGAATGGGTCTTAGAAAATGCAGATCATACACTATTAGATGTAAAAGAAGAGATGAACATATTTTACGACAATTGGAAGTATGACTTCACCATATGCTGCGATGAGGAAATTAGTAATAGAAGGGAAAAGTATGAACCCTTGATGATACTGATTCTTGAGAAAGTAAATCATAACTCACTTGACTTACAGAAAGTATTTTATACAGCATGTCAATATGGTGCATTAGAAGTTGTCACATTAGTTTTAGAAAATAGCAGTCATGAAATGTTGGATATGAACAAAGCAATGAATATAGTTTACGAGAGTTGGAAGATTGAATTCTCCTTCTGCTGTGGCGGAGATATTAATGATATAAGTAAAAAGTATGTTCCTTTGGTGAAATTGATTCTTGAAAAAGTGCATCATGACTTTCTTGACTTAAATATGGTATTGAATCAAGCATGTCGTTATGGTTGTATAGACGTTGTCACTTTTGTGTTAGAAACCGTCGATCATGAAAAGGTAGATGTAACTGAAGCAATCAACAGAGTAAACTCACTGGGGGACAACGGCAATAATGATAGTATTAGAAAAATTTATGAGACTTTAATCAAACTCATTATCAAGAAGACAAATCATGACTCTCTTGACTTGAAAAAAGTATTAAATCAAGCCTGTTGGTTTAGTTGTTTAGAAATTGTCAAATTTTTGATAGAAAATATCGATCATGAAAAGTTGGATTTAACGGAAGCAGTAAACAAACTTTGCAGGGACTATGACGATGATAATACTGTTCAAATTGAAAAATGCGAACCTTTGATCAAACTGATTCTTGAGAAAATGAATCTTAACTCACTTGACTTGACAAAAGTATTGAATCAAGCATGTCGGTATGGTTATCTAGACGTTGTCAAGTTTGTGTTAGACAATATCGATCATGAAAAATTAGATCTTAATGAAGCAATGAATATGGCATACGACCAACGTGGTAACAATATCTTAGGCTGTAGAAAACAAAAGTATGAGCCTCTGATCAAACTGATTCTCGAGCAAGTAAATCATACCTCACTTGACTTGAAAAAAGTGTTCAATCAAGCATGTCTGTATGGTTGTTCAGACGTTTTCACGTTCATGTTAGAAAATATCGATCATGAAAAGTTAGATATAATGAAAGCAGTAAACAATGCATTCAGCATATTTTGGGACGATGATAATTGTGAGCAAAGAGAAAAGAAGGAATCGTTGATCAAACTGATTCTCGAAAAAGTGGATCATGACTTTCTTGACTTGAAAGAGATAATGAAAATAGCATGTCGTTATGTTTATCAAGATGTTGTCTCGTTTTTGTTGGAAAATACCAATCATGAAAAGTTAGATATAATGAAAGCAGTAAACATTGCATACAGTTCAATCAGTGACGAAGATGACGACGAGGATGATATTTACGAGAAAAGAGAAAAGAAGGAACCGTTAATCAAACTGATTCTCGAAAAAGTGGATCATGACTTACTTGACTTGAAAGAGATAATGAACGAAGCATGGTTTTATGGTTTTCAAGACGTTGTCACGTTTTTGTTGGAAAATGCCGATCATGAAAAGTTAGATATAATGAAAGTAGTAAACATTGCATACAGCCCATTTTGTGACAGTGATGATATCAATGAGCAAGGAGATAAGAAGGAACCTATGATCAAACTGATTCTCGAAAAAGTGGATCACGACTTACTTGACTTGAAAGAGATAATGAACGAAGCTTGTCGTTATTGTTATTTAGATGTTGTCACGTTTTTGTTGGAAAATGCCGATCATGAAAAGTTAGATATAATGAAAGCAGTAAACAGTGCATACAAATCATTTTGGTACGAGGATGATATTGATGAGCAAAGAGAAAAGAATGAACATTTAATCAAACTTATTCTCGAAAAAGTGGATCATGACTTACTTGACTTGAAAGAGATAATGAAAATAGCATGTCGTTATGTTTATCAAGATGTTGTCTCGTTTTTGTTGGAAAATACCAATCATGAAAAGTTAGATATAATGAAAGCAGTAAACATTGCATACAGTTCAATCAGTGACGAAGATGACGACGAGGATGATATTTACGAGAAAAGAGAAAAGAAGGAACCGTTAATCAAACTGATTCTCGAAAAAGTGGATCATGACTTACTTGACTTGAAAGAGATCATGAATAAAGCATGTCAATATGGTTATCAAGACGTTGTCACGATTTTGTTGGAAAATACCAATCATGAAAAGTTAGATATAATGAAAGTAGTAAACATTGCATACAGTTCAATCAGTGACGAAGATGACGACGAGGATGATATTTACGAGAAAAGAGAAAAGAAGGAACCGTTAATCAAACTGATTCTTGAAAAAGTGGATCATGACTTACTTGACTTGAATGAGATAATGAACGAAGCATGTTTTTGTGGTTTTCAAGACGTTGTCACGTTTTTGTTGGAAAATACCGATCATGAAAAGTTAGATATAATGAAAGCAGTAAACAGTGCATACAAATCATTTTGGTACAAGGATATTATTTATGAACATTTGATCATACTGATTCTCGAAAAAGTGGATCATGACTTACTTGACTCGAAAGAGATAATGAGCGAAGCATGTTTTTATGGTTTTCAAAGACGTTGTCACGTTTTTGTTGGAAAATACCAATCATGAAAAGTTAGATATAATGAAAGCAGTAAACAGTGCATACAAATCATTTTGGTACGAGGATGATATTGATGAGCAAAGAGAAAAGAATGAACATTTAATCAAACTTATTCTCGAAAAAGTGGATCATGACTTACTTGACTTGAAAGAGATAATGAAAATAGCATGTCGTTATGTTTATCAAGATGTTGTCTCGTTTTTGTTGGAAAATACCAATCATGAAAAGTTAGATATAATGAAAGCAGTAAACATTGCATACAGTTCAATCAGTGACGAAGATGACGACGAGGATGATATTTACGAGAAAAGAGAAAAGAAGGAACCGTTAATCAAACTGATTCTCGAAAAAGTGGATCATGACTTACTTGACTTGAAAGAGATCATGAATAAAGCATGTCAATATGGTTATCAAGACGTTGTCACGATTTTGTTGGAAAATACCAATCATGAAAAGTTAGATATAATGAAAGTAGTAAACATTGCATACAGTTCAATCAGTGACGAAGATGACGACGAGGATGATATTTACGAGAAAAGAGAAAAGAAGGAACCGTTAATCAAACTGATTCTTGAAAAAGTGGATCATGACTTACTTGACTTGAATGAGATAATGAACGAAGCATGTTTTTGTGGTTTTCAAGACGTTGTCACGTTTTTGTTGGAAAATACCGATCATGAAAAGTTAGATATAATGAAAGCAGTAAACAGTGCATACAAATCATTTTGGTACAAGGATATTATTTATGAACATTTGATCATACTGATTCTCGAAAAAGTGGATCATGACTTACTTGACTCGAAAGAGATAATGAGCGAAGCATGTTTTTATGGTTTTCAAGACGTTGTCACGTTTTTGTTGGAAAATACCAATCATGAAAAGCTAGATATAATGAAAGCAGTAAAAAATGCACTCGGTCTATTTCAGGACGATGATAATATCAATGAGCAAAGAGAAACGAGGGAATCTATGATCAAACTGATTCTCGAAAAAGTGGATCACGACTTTCTTGTCTTGAAAGAGATAATGAACAAAGCATGTCAATATGGTTATCAAAACGTTGTCACGTTTTTGTTGGAAAAAACCAATCATGAAAAGTTAGATATAATGAAAGCAGTAAACAGTGCATACAACTCATTTTGGTACAAGGATGATATTTATAAACATTTGATCATACTGATTCTCGAAAAAGTGGATCATGACTTACTTGACTTGAAAGAGATAATGAACAAAGCATGTCAATATGGTTATCAAAACGTTGTCACGTTTTTGTTGGAAAAAACCAATCATGAAAAGTTAGATATAATGAAAGCAGTAAAAAATGCATACGATCCATTTCGGGACGATGATGATATCAATGAGCAAAGAGAAAAGAGGGAATCTATGATCAAACTGATTCTCGAAAAAGTGGATCACGACTTTCTTGTTTTGAAAGAGATAATGAACGAAGCATGTCGTTATGGTTATTTAGCCGTTGTCACGTTTCTGTTGGAAAATTTCGTTCATGAAAAACTAGATATAATGAAAGCAGTAAACAGTGCATACAGCTCAAACAAGGGTGGGGATTACGACGAGGATGATATCAATGATCAAAGAGAAAAGAAGGAACCGTTAATCAGACTGATTCTCGAAAAAGTGAATAATGACTTACTTGACTTGAAGGAGATAATAGACGACGCATTTTGTTATGGTTATCTAGATGTTGTCACGTTTTTGTTAGAAAACACCGATCATGAAAAGTTGCATATAATGGAAGCAGTAAACAAAGCATGCAACCAATCGATAGATGAGGAAACTGACGACAATAGTAGTAATGAAAAACTTATAAAAATATTATTACAGAAAGTAAAAACTGACCTACTTGATATGGAGATACTGATGAACGAAGCCTGTAGAAACGGTTGGTTAGATATTGTCAGATGGTTAATTGAAAATATTGATCATGCTATGTTTGATGTAGACACTGCAATCACTGTTTTTATTCTTCATGATAGCGACGAAACTCTTGACATTTTCGTGTTAATATTACAAAACATAAGTCCAAATTTGTTTAATATAGGAACTGTTATCGAACAAGCTTCTCGTCTGAACCACACTGACAAAGTTTTGTGGTTATTACAAAATAAGGATAGTTCATTATTTGAAATGAAATATGTGATGAATGAGGCTTGCCGAAATAGTAATCTACAGATAATAAAATACGTCATGGAAAATATGGACAAAGATTGTTTCGATGTTAGGACGGCAATGAATAAAGCATGTCGCAGTTCAAAACCGAATTCTCTAGTAGCAGTAAAATGGCTTTTGGAAAATATTCCACATGATATGTTAGATTTGGAAAGCGCAATGAACAATGCATGTCGTTATGAAATAATTGATGTTGTTGTATGGTTCTGGACAACACTAGATAGAAAATTGTTTAATGTAAAAACCGCATGGAACAATGCATGTTATAATTGTAACGAGGCATTACTATCATACCTAATCAACAATATGGACGAAAACATGTTGGATAAATCCAAGGCAATGTCGCAGGCTTGTCGGAATTATGAGGGAGGAGATAAGGTTATTGCATTGCTTTTTGAACAACCAAACATGAACACAGCAGAAAACTGTAAAAATGTACTGAAAGAAGCGTGCGTTCGCTCTAATCGACCTATAGTAGAGTGGTTGTTGGAAAATACTGATATTCAACCATCAGAATTAAAAGAAACGCTAATATACGCTATCAAAGCTACTACAAATAAATCAAATGATGAAGATAAATCTGATCACGAAGTTCTTGTTTGGCTTATGATAAAGCATCAAAAGATTAAAAAACTTGATCGAAATGATTTGTCTGATGTTATGGAAGCTGTAAGCAGTATAGGACAGTTAGACATGGTACAATGGCTTTTGCACAACACAGAACAAAGCATGTTTAATATGCGGGTTATCATTAACACGGCCTGTGAACTTGGAAAATTTGAAATCGTTGATTGGTTTCTGCAGAACATTGATTTAACAAACACTGACGTGCAAACAGTGATGGTAGAATCATGTGGTTATGGCTGGTTAACAATCGTAAAATTGCTATGGTCAAAATTTCAAAAGGAAAATTTTGATATGAAGACTTCAATGGACGAGGCTTGTTCATATGGTCGATATGAGATTGTAAAATTTCTTCTGGAAAATGTTGATTCTAAGTTTCTCGATACTAATTTAGTATTAGAGAAAGCGTGTGGGTACGGATGGAAAGATATTATCCTTTGGTTGTTTGCCAATGTAGGTAATATATCTATTAATTTAGAGGCATGCATGTTTGAAGCGTGCGTGCAAGGTAGACTTGAAATAGTTGAACTATTGATTTCAAAATATGGTATAAATAACTTTGATGTGGACATATTGATTGGTATATCATGTAAGAACAGTGGCAACAGAGGTGTCATGAAGTTTCTAATCGAAAACTTTGACCTTACACAATCACATATAAATATCATTGTTAGAACTGCATGCAAATATGGTTGGACGGAAATCTTAACATCGATTTTAGATAGTTGCAAACATAACAAAAATCTCATGGAAGAAGCCATAAAAAATGCTTGTTATAGCGGCGAAACTGAAATTGTTAAAATACTTCTCGATAAAGTTGATGTAAGCTTCGTAGAAATAAAAAATGCCATGAGTATCTCATGCCAGAAAGGTTGGGACGAAATAGTTTCAATACTGATAGAACGAGTTGACCATTCTCTGTTTGATCTTACTGGTGCGATGAACGAGGCATGTCGGTGTGGAGAAGCAGACATTGTTGAGTTATTGATTCAGAAGGTTAATCACAAATTCTTTAACTTCGAGAATGCTGTAATGGAAGCATGTCAAAGTCATTTAAATGAAAACTTAGTACTTATTTTGCTTAAATATATTAACAATTCAACAAGGGATATAGAAGAAATGTCTAAAAAAGCACGCGAATATGGATGGCGTAAAGTGAGTTCCCGTTTGAAAAGGATGAGTTACAACGAAAACAAAATTTTTCTATAATGCCCACCAACTTAATTTTCTTATACGCTATATTGGCGCTAGAATTATTGTGCAGCAACAATGATCAGTGAACTATAAAATTGTATTAAAAATTAGAATTGACTTCAAATAAAAAAAAAATGCATATTGAGCAGGCAGATTAAGTGGATGGGACAACAACTGCAGAGTTTACTCCCTTTATCAAAACATTTACCTGTGAATGTAGTGATTTCACACTATCACCTTTCTATGTTCAGTAAACCGATTCCAACGAGTGTGTAGCTAAAGGTAGAATCTTTGGTTAGCTTCCTTGCTGGCTAAACCATGAAATCATAATTAGGTATGGTACATCTGGCTTTTTGATGGAGTCAATAGTTAAGCAGAGAACCAATCAGAATTAAGTCAGTTTTAATAAAGTGACTTTTTTTAAGTCAGTTTAACAATAAGTTTTCCATCAAAATTAAAATTAAGTGATAATTATAAGCTCATTCACAAGCATGTTGTAGGTGTGTTTGATTTGCGAATTTTATTTTGTTTATTTTGATAAATGGTGAAAAATTAACTGAAAGCTGAAATTCTTCGTCAGACATTACAAATAATAATATATTTTACTTGTCTGTTGAATTTGCTACATCAAGTTAATAAAATGTAGTCGGATATGTTTGACAAGTGCTAACCGTATTTACTTTTACAAATACACTTATGTTTACAATACACCCGGACAGGTAAAAAAAGACTGCAAGGTGTCCAAAAGTACATATGGCCTGATCATTCAATCTACAAATGTAGGTCAGATTAAATCTAACTGAAGTAGAGACATACAAATTGTTCTTCATGGCTGCATTATTCATATGAAACTAATCGGTAAGGTAATGTTAACGGACCAAGTGGATGATCATAAACTCTTCAACTTTCAATTTCAAACTGCATTTGTTTGCTGTTTTTTTTCGTTGCATTTTTAACTAAATAAAAGGCCCACAACCGTGCATATATATGAAGAAAAGACACTAAGATTACGTGGAGAATACACCAAAGACACTCATTAACTAAACTGCCTATTCACGGCGTAATTATTAATAAAAAACGTTACTCCGCTTCTTATTTATTGTAATAAAAAGATTTTTAATTCAATCAAAGATTTAGAAATGAAATTTCATTTGCAAAGTAGTCTAGGAAAACCTTTGTATCGAACTTACTTATATTACAAATAATAATCAGGCCATTGATATAAATGTTTTCATTGGATGATAAAATGGCGCTTTGCTCCTCTCAATTTTAATGTAATAATCAGTTCATGATTGAGCAAGGAAGCTAATCAAAGATTCTACCTTTAGCTACACACTCGTTGGAATCGGATGTAAACAGGCTTCAAAACAGTAATTTGGAATACATTTTCAACATTTCACATCATAATGAACATACAAACTAAGTTTCATGTTAATGTTTCCACTTCTTAATGGGTAAATATCCTAGCCGAAAACTGTAATTTGAAACGGAACGAACTAACGGAAAATTGGAAAATTTTATAGTGTATAAAATATAATAGCCCTTACTACCGTAGGCGCAGTAAATAAAGTAAAGGTTTTCATAAATACGAAATTACATTGAAGAAAAATTGCAATCAAATGAAAGCATTGATTGAATGCCATCTTGAATAAGTGAGTACTAATTGCATCAAGGAAATCATAAGTCGTTGTTTAGTATAACTTCAGTATATGAACACCATCATAAATTTTAAAAAAAGGGGAAAGTCAATGAATACAATACCAAATATCATTCAATAATACCCTTTCTTTCAGTTGTCCTTTTGTAAAATCATTCACAGGTTTTACTTTATCTGTATATATAGGATAGGAAAATTTATGTCTCGTGGTACGTTGAAAATATGCTTATTAGTATGATATTTAGTAATTTCTTTTTTTTTTGTGAATGATTTCAATATTTCATTTTGCAGTATGTGAAATTGATTATGTTAATCAAACTAGTTAAAGTAGAGTTTTAGAAAATGTAACTTTTCAAGTTGTACATATGCATAGTTTCAGTTAAATACTGTTTTGTTATGATTTTTAATGTATGTGATTATTATCATTTTTGCTTTTATGATTACTTTTCATTTTCTCATTATGTAATTGACATTATTATCATACTTACAAAATTGTTTAGGGCACTCAGCTTGTTACCATTTAAAGTTTTGGACATTTATAAAATTTCATCACTGTTTGTTTCAGGTTTTTAATGTCAGGTAAATTCCCTTAATTACAGAAATATTATGATGTATAGTTAAATGTTTATACATCTCTGTAAATATACACTATCATCGTCATGTAACACGCAATTATTGAAGTGCATTCAATGTTTTCTCCGTTGTTGGTTAACATTATTTTTTTGATTAGTTGTTTATATATTTCAGTAAAAGCGTTTTTGTTAGGTCATATTTTTTTCATATTTATAAAGTTTTGCTACCTTTTGTTTTTAGTTTTTATGTTACAGTACGTTGTTGACATCATCATATTGTATAAAAGTTAAGCTTTCATTAATTCTAAAAAAAAATCGATGTAACTTTAAAAACGGTTTTTTGGAGAGATTGTATTTTCACTTAGTATGTCATTGTTTCTGACTTTTTATGCCCCCGCCGTAGCGGAGAGGGCATAATATTTTCCCTTGTCCGTCCGTACGTCCGTCGGTCCCAAAATTTGTTCGCGTTCTCTAACTTTAGTTAACCTCAACTAAATGATGTTATAAATCTTGTACACAATGCTTATTACCGCAAAACACAGATCAAGTTTAAATAATTGTGGCGTAACTTTAACCGTTCTAAAGTTATGCCCTTTACAAAGGGAAAAATTGACGAAATTTTCGTTTTCCATTCACTAACTTAAGTTTGCTTCAACCAAATGTTATAAAACGTATACACAATGCTAATTACCCAAAAACTCAGTTTAAGTAAGAATTTGGGTAGCTTGTTACTGTCCTTAAGGTATGTCTCTTTCTAATTTTAGATGCAAGCTTGAACATCATCTGTGTCCCATTGACTCATTCCCCAATCATTTTGTGATTGTATTTGTACATATATAGTATGTCATTGGCTTTGATTTTTTTTGTGATTGTATTTGTACTTAGTATGTCATTGATTTTAATTTTTCATGTAATTGTATTTGTACATAGTATGTCATTGTTTTGAATTTTTGATGTGATTGTATTTGTACATAGTATGTCATTGGCTATGGTTTTGTTTGGTGATTGTATTTGTACTTAGTATATCTTTGGCTTTGATTTTTTTGTGATTGTATTTGTACTTAGTATGAAATTGGTTTTAATTATTTATGTGATTATATTTGTACTTAACATGTCATTGATTCTGATTTTTTATGTGATTGTATTTCTGCTTTATATTTCATTGGTTTTGATGTTTTTCGTGAGACAAATCAGCCATATTTGTAAGTTATGTAAGCCATTGTAAGATAATATTATGTGGTGTTATCTATTTTCTGTTTGAAGAATTTGCATATTCCATGTCAAAGTGATAAACCAATTCATTATAAAAAAAATGAGATGAAGTATGATCGCCAACGAGACAGCTATCAGTGCAGGTCCAAAATGTCAAAAATGTACAGACGTAGCTATAGGTCAGCATCGCTATTCAACAATGAGCAAAATCCATACCGTTCAGTCGGCTTTAGATATCCCTCAATTGGTAATATGGAAAATGTGATTTTTCCCCTTAAAGGTGCATTATGTAAATAACTTTGTAGATTTTTTAAAAATCTTAAAGAGCTTGGGTATTTAGGAATGATGCGGTCGTGTTATTTTATGAAACTGTAATTGGAATATTTACTGATTTTGTTTAATGTCATTGCAATATGAGTATATTATGATGAATAAACATTCCCTTTACTTTGTGTTTGTTGCTTTCTGTAATGGAGCTGCACAACTCCGAATTATAACCGGTAAATCAAAAGCCACTGTCATTATAACAACTTCTCTGCAAAAGGAATTGCGGGATATATAAACATACTTTTTCATGCGAGCAGATATTAGACGCTGAAATAAATTCAGTACAGATGTTCTTGTTTGTAAAAGAGAGACAAAAGATACCAAAGGGACATTCAAACCCATAAGTCAAAAATAAACTGACAAAACCATGGCCAACAATGAAAAATACAAACAAACAAACAACAGCACACAAAACACCACATAGAAAACTATAGACTTAGCAACACGAATCCTATCGAAACCTGGGGGTGATCTCAGGTGATTCGGTAGAGTTAATCCGGTTTTGACATCATTTCAATGATTCATTGGTCAAATTTGAGTATTTCATGTAAGTATAAAAAAGAAGATGTGGTATGATTGCGAATGAGACAACTCTTCATAAGAGACCAAACGACATAGAAATTAACAACTATAGGTCACCGTACGGCCTTCAACAATGAGCAAAGTCCATACCGCATAGTCAGCTAAAGGATTGCTTGACCTTGAACTCATTCTCGTGATGCATTGGTTAAAATTAAGTGTTTTTCGATAGGTCTGTTTTTCATATACTATAATCAATAGATTAACAATATGTGTTCGATTGAGAGATTGTAAGGCGTCCAAATCCTTCTGACAGGGTTCATCTGATGCAATATGTTGTGAAGTTTCGGTACATTCAGTGACTATAATAAAAAAAAAATGAGAAACATTATAACTGTTGTTTATATACATATATCATGTTTGGCTTATATCTTATTTTATACTTGTATAACCTTTTATCTTACTTTCCATACATTTCTATGAATATGATAGGTTTTAAACCGCTTGGTGACCGTGTATATTCCATATTAGGTTAGTAGGCGGGGCTTATTTCAATACACGGTTAGAAGTGGTATTATGGCCCTTGTTGCAAATAATACGGTGTTGAGGAAAAATATTAAAGGTTTCAACAGACGATGAAATTGATAATGAAAGTTGAAATAAATTCATAAAACATATCCAAAGCTCACATGCTGTTATTTTTTACGTTTGTTTTTGTATAGACCAATAGATGTAGGTTCCTAATACCATCGGTATTGAAGACTTGATCACTTTTATAGGCCACTAGTCTAAATACCACATGTTAAGATTAAATCATGTTAAAATATTTACATGTGAAATTTACAATATGGCAAAATTCAAGGTACTGTATTCATATGATTTGCACCACGTGACTTTGGCCATTTTGATTAAATTACTTCCCCTAGTTTTAGATTGAAAAGATAAATTATGTCTAATTTGCGGATAATCCAGTCTTTTTCCGTCATGAATCTAAAACTAATGTGTCTTTGAAAACTTTCTGTGGCGGATATTTACAAAATTGTTGTGTATTTCTGAGGAAAAATGCTTAAAATTTGACTTTTTACGAAATGGGCAGGTTGAAATCATCATGTTTTTAAAAGAATTTAGCCGAAAACTTAAGAAAGCAGGTAAGTTAAAACTTATTTACAGTGGAGTCCCCGGTGTCTGCACGGCCGGAGATATCAACACAGTAACACAAATAAAATCGTTCTTGTTATTGTTTTACCCTTCCGAAGGGATAAAAAAAAGAATAAAACTGTTAAAGAATTAATTGATAACTGCAATTCCGTGATTGTCAATATTTGGCTAATTTCCATTAAAAAAATACATTATCAGATAGAATTTGTTTTATTTAAGTCAAATTTATATCATCCTTGGCAGTGTGTTTGGTTCAAATTCAGCTATTTCTTCGTAGTATAAAATCTTTCCTTTATTCAAAATAAGCTATTTTTGGAAGGCATGCGCGAAATCATCGGACATTGGAGGAACTCTCATAACTGGGGTTCCCTAATTTTGGACACACATTACACAAAATCTTGAGGGGGAAACCAAACAAACAGAAGATTTTATGAAATAAAAGTATGTTATGAGTGTGTTCACACAATATTATCTAATTATTGGTTTTATCAGTTGAATGAAGTGAAGTCATAAGTCTTAGATTCGCGGATACACCGGCCTGCACCGTAACTTTAAAATTCAACCTACAAGGTGTTTCCCTATATATGCGGACAAATCATGAACACTATCTTGTTGTATCTTAATTTCTATTTTGAATCTTGCTTTTTTAGAACTTTTACTTGTTTCGTTCTTTAATATAGCAATTATACTACGATTACGCTTCCGATTTTTAAACTAAAAAGGCCGAAAGTTTTCAAAGTAGACAATGTTCATTTGTACACGAGCAGAAGCCAAAAAACTTGTACAATTCACCTATATACGGACAAATTGTTGATTCGACATAGGAATTGGCATAATGGCATTTTTATTTAGGGGCATGTATAATCCTATAATAAAGGCTGCCGTCATGTCAAGGCAAAATAGCCGCTATGCAAATTAGCAAAGTACCCTTAATTTTGCCATATGCATAATATTTTCTCGTTAAAATCACGTCAAAATTGTACATGTGATAATAATTTTACATTTAAAAGTGAATATCATGTTAGCAGACTAAAACGTGATTATCACGTGAGAATCTCATGTTTTTAGAATACACGTGATATTAACATTTGACATGTGTGATACACACGTAGGAATAACATAGCTCTCACGTAATGAGGACAAACGTTAAACACACGTTGAAAAAAATTGCCTGTGTAGTCGGTAAGATAAATTCGTTACATAGTGTGCTAGTGACCTCATACGATATATATGGGGTCAGTAAATTCCATATGGAGATTCCAGCGTCTCTCTCACCACATATGGAATTTACTGATCCCATATATATCGTATTTAATTTAGGTCACTAATTCAAGCATGATCAGTAAAACAGGCGAGACATTTCAGCGTGTACACTTTTGTTAACATTATATATAACTACAATATCTGAATACATAAATATGAGTATGCACTATCCACATGAGGTGTACGCAGATGAATGTCACCGAACGGTCTTCAACAAAGAGCAAACCTTAACTCTTTATGGAGTGTTGTATTTATCAAAAATGAATGTTGATGCTATTTTAGACGTGTAGGGGGCATATTTAACAAGTACACTAAATGTTCACTATACACCATTGCGTGAGAAATATTCTATGCACAACGGCTAATTTAATCTCTGATCCATTATTAATTAGACAATATATTGTCATTTTTATTTTGCATATTTGTTTTTGGATAAAATATGGTTGCTGCTTGTAATCACTTGTTACCAGAGGCATGTGATTAAATACCTCTGTTAAGTTAACCGTTTCAAAACAGTGACATTACAATATATGTACACACATAGAGTTGAAAATCATATGTTCGTCAAATGAATATTGGTTAGTTCTTATGACTAATTAATATTCACAATTTCTTAAATGATATAAAGAGTGCAAGTCTGAGTTTTTATTTATTTTAAATAAAGCTATCAAAATATCAAAATTAAACATATCATTATATTAGTAATAAAGTTAAAGGGACATGACATCGAGGTGGCAATCAATACTTACATGTATAAGTTGGAACAATACGTGGAAGCATTTGACAAAACGAATAAAGAAAATACATATGAAGAGCTACTGTAATGTTGCTACACTATCCTTTGACATAAAAAAAAGTTTTCTTTATTTTCCCAAATTTTACCTATAAATAGACTTAGATTTTTGGCACTTAACATTACACTTTAAAACTAATACTAGTAACACGTTCGCCAGTGAGACACAATCGTGTTCTAAACATTTCTTATCACAGCAATGTTTCGCAATCTTTGTCATTTTGATGTTATTGTCGTATGGGAAAATTATTGCTATTTCATAGACTTTTCTATAACTAAATTTCATTACTGAGGTTTCTATTACCTTTGGGATTTGCCAACAAGAATGTTTGAGGCAAGTTAAAGGGGACATACTATTGCTTTTTTATAATAATAATCAGTATCAAATTCTAGAATCGCCATTCTGAAATCCGAGGACACAATCGATATATCAATTATGGATACTACGGTAGGCAGACGTCCAATCCTGTTTCTTTGCACAAAATTTGATAGCATTCGTTTCACACAATGCGAACTCTAAAATGTTGCTACTGAAAACAAAAAACAAAAAATTGTTAACTTGGTGTTTACCTATTCGACTCAGAATCTACAAATCTTTTTAATTTTTTTTAACACACTTAACAATCTGTCAAACTTACGAACAATCCTAAAGATATTGAGTTTAACTTATTCACAATAAAAAGAACCCACTAATTAAACACTTGTAAAATGCAGGCGAATATTTAGTTGAAAGTAAATAACAAAAATACCGAACTCCGAGGGAAATTCATAACGGAAAGTCCCTATCAAATGGCAAAATCAAAATCTCAAAGACATCAAACGAATGGATAACAACTGTCATTTTCCTGACTTAGTACAGACATTTTATTCAAATTTACCTTAATAAAAAAGGGGGGTGCTCAAACAACTTCAATTTATTTGGTAACTAAAAGTTTATTGCAGACTTATAATTAGATATTATGAAAAAGTGACATTCTAAAAGCTGTATGTTTTAAATTGAAAAGAGGTAAAACACAGGGAATTAATTAATCTTTATTCCTCGCATGTCGAATTGTCTTAGGAGAAAAAAACCAGCAGCGTATTTAGCGGTATGACTCTCATTTCGTTTTCATGTACCCTATCTTTTATGAAAATATACGAGAGTCAAGAACGAGTCTTTTGTAACGCGTGTATCGCGTACTACATTTCAATCCTGGGATCAACAATGAATTTATTTATATAACTTTTAATGTAAATGGAGAGTTGTCAGGCCTATAGGCCAAGTGTTAGTCTTTCTCATTCTCTTCAAATTCCTTGATGTTTATTGAAGTGCCGTATAGAAGGTGTTTTTATATTTCTCATAAAATTTAAGGCAATTATTTTGTAGTTTTTAATCATAAATTTATCG